ACCCGCAACGGAAAGGGGGGGGGGGGGGGGGGGGGGGGGGGGGGGGGGGGGGGGGGGGGGGGGCCCTCCGGGGGTGAAGAGGGCGGGCCGGCAGCACCAAGCGAGATGAATCTTCATTTTGCACCGCCGGGGCGAGCGTCTCTTTTGCTGTGAAGGTTACTCGTTTGGGAAAATGCGGTCTGGAGAGTATGTGTAGGTGCTTGGTTGGCCTCTGCAGAGCGAGAAGGGGGGGATTTGTTTAGACAGCTGTTGTCGATGCCACCCGGTCTTGGAAGGGGGTTAACGAAGTTAGACGGCAATATTCACATGGGAGGGGGGATGAATTGGAGCTTGAAGATTTCAAGGTCAGCCGGGCGTGATGAGATCGTTTTCGGGGTAGTTTTCAGGGGGAATGGAGACACCAATGTCCAATGTCGTGGAGTTGACATCTGCGTTTGACAGGCGCTCTGCTATGTGCGTCACTCTTGGGGGCGGTGCTGTCTTTCATTTGACCTATTACATCTCAAATGGATCGATCGCCCTGTATTGTTTTGGCCGAATGCCGGGTTGTCTGGAGGGTTTTCATCTCGTTGGTGTTAGGTAGTGCGATTGATCCTTGACGCTGACAATGGAGATGACTAGACAACGGGGGTGAGTCGCACTGGCTATAGCCGCCACGGCCCCTCATGGAGTTGTGAGTTCCTCCGGCTTTATGAATGCACTCGCAACATTAAAGCTGGATGCCTTCTTTCACTGTATGCGTCAGGGGGTAGTTTGATGCCGCTTTTGATAGGAGTCGCTCATACATCGCTGAGTTCACGACAATGGAGTTCATGGTGAGCTAGGGTAGTGGGGAACAGTCTCCTTTCCCCCAAAGCTCCAAGATTGTCTACATTATTATTCGCGTTTTGTTTGACCATACGTGGAAGCTACGTATCCCAACGCCCATTCTCATTCCAAATGTGTTATCACATTGACATATCCATCGATAGCTGTCCGTTAGGATCTTTGGACAAGTATTGGTCCAGAAAGTTCTGCAGTAACCAGTTAGCCAACGACACCATAAACACAACGGAGCATATCAGACTCACCCAGTCTAGATTAGCAGGGTCATTCAGCGCGTTATCCAGAGCCATGAAGTCGACGCCGCCGCCTTGGAGCATGTCGACACCCTGTAGCTGGTCGAACCCGTTGCCCACATCGCCAAACCCAAGATTCATTTGAGGCATGCCTCCAAAGGGAGTTGGCTCGCTGCCGAGAGTCACGCTCGACGCCGCCGTTGTTGAACACGCTGCAACCTTTGTGCCTGTATTCTCTCTGCAGCTCAGCCGACGCAACATGGCCCTCAACACTGCAGAAGCATGCCTCGCATCCCTGGAACAGTTCGACCGTCCCTCCCAGATCCTGGCTGCCGTTCTGAGAGCGTTCATCTTCCTCTCGTAGTCCTCATCGCTGTTGGTTGTAAGTCAGCACTCAAATCCCCGATCAACCGAGAGAAAGCACATACCTAGTATCCGTAAACTCCGGGATATTTTCCAAAACCCGGTTCAGATCCAAGCAAATCACCATAGCGGCGATCATGAAGTCGTGTAGCGTCAAACTACTCAACATATACCGGTCCTCGAACAACCTGCCGCCAGGGCTCGCCTCGCGGTCAAACTCCTCATGCAACTCCAAGATCCGCAGCGCCGCCCGCCGGCACGTCTGCCGCGACTTGTCATAGCACACCTCGCTCTTGTCCCGGCTCAGGTACGCGCGGTGCAGCACGCACAGCGCCTTCCGGAACATCAGCTCCAGCATCAGCCGCTGCATGATGGTGTAGTTCTGCTCCGAAAACCCCGCGGACGCGATCGGCCGCACGGCGAAGCACGCCGGCAGCTCCGCGCGCCACGCGTGCAGCGCCTCGTCCAGCGCTACCGTGTCCGCGTAGGCGGGCTCCACGGGCGACAGCGTGTGCCGGATGACCCGCCGCAGGATTCGGCAGAGCTTCGACTTGCAGTGGTAGTAGAGCGACGGGGTCGGGTCGAGCGCGGGGCGCGGGGGCGGCATCGACACGGTGGTCTCGTCAAAGTCCTCGTCCGGGTGGTTCCCCGGCCCGCGGGCGTCGCTGTCGCCCTCGTGGATGATGGCGGGCATGCCGAGCTGGAAGGAGAGCAGCAGGTCGAAGGCCTCGCAGTAGAACCACGTCCGGCGGCGCATCTCGGCCTCGAAGGGCGTGATCTTGTACGAGAGGTGCTTCGGCTCGAGGTGGTAGCCCCGCCGCTGGGCGAGCCTGGTGGCGACGCCGAACATGTTCCACATCACCGGGTCGACGTCCTTGCTCGCGATGTTCCTGGTGTAAGCGACCATCAGCGTCGCCTCGACGGAGTACGTCTTGGCGGCGAGGTAGTTGCCCTTGATGAGGCACTGCACCGCGCGGCCGGCGTACGCCGAGGGCTCCTTCAGCGGGCTGCTAAGACCGAGAGACGCGGGGTTGCCTTTGCCTTTGACGATGACGGCGGAAGCGGCGAGGATGGAGAAGAGGATGCTGATCCAGAGGAAGCTCGTCCCCTCAGGGTTGGCCCAGAAGGCCTCGGTCTCGCGTTGGAAACGGCCGGTGTGGATGAACGGGACGGCTGTGAAGCGGGCCTGGAAGTAGATGCCGAGTAGCCTGTTGGTGTCCTGTTGCGAAGGGAGGCTTGTGAGGATCTCCTGGATCGAGACGGAAGGAGAGACGGCTCCGAAGAGGAAATCCGGGCCTATGGAGCATGCGGCTGCTTCTGGAAGTTCTGGAGGTGTGGTGTTGTCCGGTTCCAGCGCGGTCTGTATCTCTCGGATGTGATGAAGCAGAGCGGACCAGTGTGTTGCACCGTAATAAGCGACCTCTCCGTCCGCCGGGGCCGAAGATGGCGACGATTCGTCGTGGCTGGGCTCCGAGTCAGTCGGGGTCGGACCGGCTTGGGCCACGATGCCCGGGGCGGCGCAGCGGTCTTTGGACGGCCCGGATCCCCCCCTCCGCACAAGGTCCTGGACCATGTCCTCCAACTTCTGAAGACGGAGCTGGACCTCCTGGCGGGGCTGCTTTTGCTGCCCCGGGGAGCCATTTTGATTCACATCCTGGGTCGCTTGGGAGATGGCATTCACCTTGCTGCTATTTGAAGCCCCGGCATTGTTGCTAGGTGGACTGGGCCCGAACTTGCACGCATCTCCGTCCCCGCGCTTGGTGCATGCCCCGCAGGGGAGCGTGCGGGAGCATTTCAGCTTTCGTGCGCGGCAGGCAAGGCAGGAGACTGGCTGGCGGTTTCGCTTGGTCACTTTGCGGTGCTGGTCCGACAGCGACTGGGCGCGGAAGACGGAGGTGAACTGGGCAATGTCGGACATGATGGAACGTGTCACTCGGCCGGCAGGGTCCGGTGGGGGCGGCGAAGACGGAGGACGGGGTCGGGATGAAGAGTTTCCAATTCGGGACGTCGATGTCTCCGTTATCTTGACGATTGAAAGATGTGTGAAATGGATGGGTTAGGCAAACGACCGTTTTCCTCGGAGAATTGACATTCAGCGAAAGAGGCTTGATCTAAACTCCGCCGGTTTGTCATCAGAAGGAATGATGGTCGGCATCATCATGGTCTGGCCTGGTGTTAGTCGGGGATACCCCGGAGTTAGAACTTTCCGCTTTGGGAAAGGGCTTCTCCGAAGTCCCATCAACGTCGTCTCGTTGCCCCAATGACCGTAGATCTTTCACTTTTGCTTCACCTTTGCTGACATCAGAATAACCTATGGAGTAAGCACTGCCATTGGATGCTTGTCTCGCCTGAAAATGTGGACAAGAGCTTACCGGTGATAATGAAAGATATGGTAGGTATGGGTGAAAGCCACGATGGTGGCAAGCCGGCGATATGTGGAGTTGAACATCCTTCTGTGGCTCTGCACGGAGAGAAATCGTCATTCAGCTTGGAGTATCGCTGATCAAATGGTCGTTGCTGTGGCTATAAGTGAGGACTTCCAGCTTAATGACTCTCCCGTTCATTAGAGATCAATAACCCAACTTCAGGATTAAAACCACTTCAACATTCAAAACCCCCTTATCAATCACAAAAGATGTCATCCACAACTCAGACAAAAGCCCTCATCCTCTCCTTCGTCAGCTCCTCCCTTTCCCTCACCCACACAACCGTCCCCGTCCCCTCCCCCCTCCCAGGCCAAACCACAGTCTCCGTCCTAGCCTCCGCCATCAGCCCAACCGCCTCGTCCTACCTCACCGGCGCCCTCACAGCCCTCTCGTTCCCGACCCCCTTCGTCCCCGGCCACGCCGCCATCGCCCGCGTCCTCCACCCGTCTCCAGACTCCGTCTCCCTCCAGCCGGGCCAGCTCGTCCTCGTCGACTCCTACGTCGCAGCCCGCGACGACCCGGACGTGCACATCCTCCTCGGGCTCCACGACGGCGCAACTCCGCAGCACAAGAAGCTCTTCCGCGACGTCTGGCCCCACGGCCTGTGGAAGGCCGCCGCGAGCGTGCCCGTCGAGAACTGCCACCCCCTCGACGAGGACCGCCTCTCCGCGCTGGGATACTCCTACGCGCAGCTGCTCTACCTGAACAGGCTCGCGGTGGCCTACGGCGGCGTCAGCGCAGTCGGGCTCAAAGCCGGACAGACGCTCGTCGTCGCGCCGGCGACGGGGCAGTACTCCGGCGCGGCAGTCGAGCTCGCGTCCGCCATCGGCGCGAATGTCATCGCCGTCGGACGCAACCCAGACACCCTCCGGAAGCTGTCCCACCTCCCGCGCGTCAAGACACTCATCCTCCCCTCAGACTCGGCCTCCTTCGAAGAGACCCTGACGTCCTCCCTCCGAGCCCTGGCCCCAAGGAAAGGAGCAGACGCGTACATCGACCTCTCGCCGCCCACGCTCGCGGACCCGGGCAGGCAGATCAGGGCGTGCATCGCGGCCCTCCGCGACGGCGGCAGGGCGGCGCTCATGGGCGGCGTGGCGGGCGACGTCGGCATCTCCCACCCGAGCATCATGTTCAGGAATATTACTGTCAAGGGGCAGTACATGTACACGCGGGAGCAGGTCGGCGAGGTGATCCGGCTCGTCGAGAGCGGCGTCGTGAAGCTCGGGGACGCGGTCGGCCACGAGAAGCTTGTCGCGTTCGGGCTCGCTGATTGGGACACGGCGCTGAGGGAAGCGTCGGATAGGGGAAGTTGGGGCCAGGCTGTCGTGTTTGTGCCGGAGCAAGAGTAGAGTAGTGTGGTGCGGTCAAATCCAAACAGACCTGTACGTGTACACGTATGCGTGTGTATATGTATGTAACGATCTTCCATTATTTCACAGTCCAGGAAAGTGTGCTCATAGATATCATGCCCTCATTCAACTTCATTTTCACATCCACTGCATCCCCCTGTCCGTCTCGACGGGGGACCATTTCCGTACACGCTGACGAGACTCACAGACTTTACACGACACCTCGAGGAAGACAGTCAACAACTCGATTTCTCATTCTTCCACGCACCGGGGGATTGAACCAGTCCATCCGCTTTCTTGCTCCGTCAACTAGCTGCCAGAGCTAAACAACCCTCCATCTTCTGTAACTTTTCCCATATCCCCCCCGTCTCTTGAAAGCACCACAGAAGGAAAACAAGACCATAGTATTAAAAACGCCAGGTTCTTTTTTTAGAATTCTCCCCTTCACCCCTGCTCCGTGCGCTTGGCTCGCAAAAGAAAGATGAAAGAAAAGACAACAGCAAACGGTAGAGAAACATTAGAAAAATACACACGCTTTTGTACAGGGGCAATAAAACTGTATTGTGAGCTGGGTATCATAGCAGCAAGGAACATGAGACGCAAGGCTAAGCAGTCAACTGTAAGCTTTTCTCTTCTTCTTCAAGAGCCGATGCCGCGGAGGACTCTGGCCGGGTTGCCGCCGACGATGGTGAAGGGCGGCACATTCTGTTTTGAGAAAAACGAGTCAGATGTGGATCTCACGTTCAGAGTTTAAATTGACGTACCTTGGTAACGACGGAACCGGCACCGACAGTGCTGCCCTTTCCAATGGTGATGCCAGGCAGAATGGTGACGCCTCCACCGATCCAGCAGTCCTGGTCAATGGTGACGGGCCTGCCAATCTGCGGACCCTTGCTGCCCTGCCGTCTCTTCGGATCGGTGTGCAGTGTCGCGGCGTAGATGCTGACGTTGGGCCCGATGTGGCAGTTGTCTCCGATGTTCACCTCGGCGGCGTCGAGGATCGTGCAGCTGCGGCCGACGATGACGTTCTGCCCGATGACGATGTTGTACCCGTAGTCGCACACGAATGGCGCCTCGACCACGACGTTCTCGCCGACCCGGCCAATGTTGGTCACGGGGGACGACCCGGGGGAGGGCGAGAGGAGCTCACGCGGCTGCAAGATCTCGCGGAACAGGCGGGCCCTCTCGTTGGGGGAGACTCCGTTGTTGGGGTTGGTGGAGTTGTTGAAGCGCCAGCAGGCGGCGCTGCAGCGCTCGCGCTCGAGGACGAGCTCCTTGTCGAAGGGGTAGTAGAATTTGCCGCTCAGCATCTCCTCCTTCTGCGACCGGATGCGGTTGTTCGCGGGGAACTGCGCGTGGGAGAGCGCCAGCTGCGCCGCCACCTGGACGTTCGTCGTGGCCGGGGGTTGCGGGTTCGGGCTGTTCGATCTCGTCGGGTGCAGGATGTTGATCTGGGGCAACGTCGGGGCCGGGTACGGGGTGTCGGGGTCGTTGGCCGTCCTGCTGAGGTCGTGCAGGGGTGGCACGCGGTCGAACCGTTTCTCGGAGATGGGCGGGTGCGGCTCTCGCTGCTGCTGCGGGCTCGAGGTCACGTTGAACGGGTAAGGGTGACCGGAGGGCGACAGCTGCTTCTGGTCGGGGCTGATGGCGCTATTGACGCTTGGTATTGTCGAGGGTGTCAGCGTGGACCCGGAGAGCGGGTTAGACACCATGGAAGCCGACAGCGTCGATCCGGTCTGCCGATCAACGTCTTGATCTGCGATGGGCCGGCCTTGAGGAGTGTCTATCCTCAGCGGTTGTCCTCGATGATAAGAGAGAGGCTCACGCCTCTGCCCGACGGCAGGCTGAGTACCGTAAGGGGCTTGCTGCGGGTGCTGAGGCTGGGGCTGGTGCGGAGGCTGTGATTGATGCTGAGGCTGGGGTGGGGGTTGAGATTGAGGTTGTGCTTGCGGCTGAGGCTGAGGTTGAGATTGCGGTGGTTGAGACTGGGGCATACCGTAAGCACCAGGCGGGACGTAGCTCGGGTCCTTTGACTCCAGAGGAATGGCCGTGGCCTTGTTGTCCGACTTCTGCCAGACCGCGTTGCGCTGTGGAGGGTATCCTGCGCAAACGAAGCCGCCGCGGATGCAGTTGCTACCTGTGAGAGGGTCAGTATCGTCAACTGTGCCAGCGGCGAGAGAGACACTTACACTCGGGCTTCTGCTCGTCGCATTTCTTTTTCCTCCGCCGGCAGGTCATGCATCCAGTCTTGGTACGATTGCTAAAGTTACGCTTCCTCTTCTTCTCGGACTGGAGAATGGCGTCGCGAGAGCCGCCGGTCGGAGTGTAAGGGCTGTAAGGCATGCTCTTGTCATCGCCATCCGGGCTGGTGTTGTCGTAACCCTGGCTGTCCATCTGATTTGCCCGCTGGAGCTCCCCAATCTGGTCTTCTGACTGGGCAGACATCGTTGAGTGGTCGTAATAACTGCGGTCCTCTCTGTCTCCTTCCCGGGAATACCACGAGTCGCCTTCACGCTGGTCCTCGCGTTCCCGAGGGCGGTGATCGGGCGGCGGTGACCGATACGGACTGCGTGTTTCTGAGGGGTGAGCTGGCGCATCTGGCGATCTCTCGTGAGTCATGGGCGCATTTCTCTGCTGCGGCGGCGAGTCTGACCGCTTCCTCTTGAGAGAGCCGTCAACATCAGGGTAATTCGTCGAGTGGTATGGCGACTTGTCCTGGCCTCTCGGGCCAGCCCAGCTTTCCCTCGTCGCCTCTGCGGCGGTGGGCGCTTTAGGTTCATGATGGGTGGGCGAGCCGTTGGAGCGATGGTCCTCTGGCGATGCTCTGCTGGCGGCGTCGGCAGGCTGGTTCGTCGGTTCTGACGTCTTTGGTGGTGAGCCCCCATTGAGGGCGGTGAAAGCTGACATGGTTCAGCGCCGCGCCTCACCAAGTCGGGGCGCGGGAGGATGAGAGCGGCGACGGTTGGGTTGAAGCCGTGGTGAGCGACGGTTTGGGAGTGAGGTTGGAATTGGGGTCGATGAGACCGAGTGGGCGCGGTAAGCGACAGCAGATCAACAATGGATGACGGCAGGTCGCGTAGTGCGCGAAGAATCCAACAGGGAGCTTCGGCAGAAGGGGAAATGTACCGCGAGATGAGATTGGAGATGAGGTCTGGAAGGGTGCGCAGCAGGGCGGCACGCGTCAATCAATGCCAGAATCAGCGATTCGGGCCGAGAAAAGACTTGGGGAAAGACCTCTTTGAGAGGAGACACAGAGCCGCAGGAGGACTCGATGAACCTGGCCAGCGTTGCAGTTGCGGTAGCGGTAGCGGTAGCGCAGATGTGCTGGGGTTCCGAGGCGAGGGAACAACTTTTTGAGACAGGGTGGTGGTGGTGGTGGCGCCTCGATGTCTTCCGGGCTCAGAGAGTTAGTTAACTCTTTTTTTTTTTTTTTGGTCCGTTCTTCCTCACCCTGGCTTTGTCGGGTGGGATGTTGGCGAGCGTCGAGCTGCTGCTGTATGTATGTATGCTGTATGCAAGTTGGCGGTTCGGATCAGAAGGGGGAACGGGAACTGGAACTGGAGCTGGAACCCAGATCTCAGCTTGATGGTTCAGCCAGATCGTTTCTTTGTCGTCGTGGGGGGTGGGTAAGAAGTTTTTTTTTCTTCCCCCTTCTCCTTGCTCCCCTCTCTATGTCTGACCCCTAGACCCCTCGCCAGATCTGAGGAAAAAAGTAGCTGCCAGCTATCAAAACCAGACGATGACCCTCACTTTGCCGATGCCGTTGGTGGATGCCGCAGTCGCTGCTACGGTGCGCGGCGCGCGGAGGACGCGGGAGCTTGAGCTTTGGACTTTTTTTTTTCTTTCTCTTCCCGCTCTTTCTGCTGCTGCTCTCTCAGTCGCTTCCCTCGTGTTTTAGTGAACGGGGGGGCGTGTGCGGAACAATTGCTGGGCTGTGCGCGCGTGCGTCAGTAGGTACGTGCGACAAGAGCGAGAGCGGTGTCTTGTCCGCCCGGGGGTGGACAAGGGCAGAAAATGAGAGAGAGGCCGCTGAGACCTGAGGCTGTGCAGCCCTTGGTGTATGAATGTGTGTGAGAGAAATTGGATGGGAACAGGCGACCCAGTGTCTCCGGCCTCGACGGAAGCTCGAGGCCGTCAAGAGAGTTTGCGCCCTTCCCTCCTCTAGACGCGGGTGGTGGGTGCGAGCAAAATATTGGGCAAAAAAAGCAATCTCTCCAACAAGTAACAAGCAGAGGAGAAACTCGAGAGAGCGTTCGGAGACGGATGATGAATAATGGTACTCACGCTGTCCCTCTCATGAAATGATTATCCCAGCTGAGATGTCCTCGAATGACGAATGAGTCGATTCAATGTGGCAGGTGGATTCAGAAGCAGTCGAGCGGCTTCTTCTCCTTCTTTTCAATGTAGCGCGTGCGTGAGGTGGTTGTTCTTGGCCCCCAAAGGTCGGGTGTGTGTGTTTGCGTCCAGAACGAACGGGGGTTCGGGGTCGGGCAGATGCTCCGCTGTTTGCTTGCGATCTACCGCGAAGGGGGTTAATGGATGGAGTGGGTGTGGGTGTGGGTGTGTGGGTGAGAGGAGAGCAGAGTGCTGCGCTGCGTTGCGTTGCGTTACGTTGAAGCACCGGGCAGAAAAAATAACAATACTTCTGCTGGTGTGTGTTGACGTCGGAAACGCTCGCTGAACTTGAGGTGGGTTTGTAATTAGTAGTGTTTGCCTGTATCTGTCTTCTCCGTTTCGCTGATGGTGGTGGTTGTGGTGGTGGTCGTCGCGAGGGGCGGGATCTTGGAATTAAAGAACCAGAAGAAAAAAAAGTAGAAGGAAGGCCCTGTCTCTTTCTTTTGCTTTCCCGCTTGTCCCTCAAGTAATACTTCTTGTCTCTTGTCGTTCACTTGCCGGCCTGGCCCTCCGAGCAATGCACCCTTCTTTCTTCTCCCGTCTTAGGGGTTTGTCCTTAGTCGAGGGATGATGGCTGCTGATCGTCGGCGCTTGAGCCGTTTTTT